ACCTAACTATGATCCAGCAATCCCACTCTTAGGTAATATACCCAAAAGAAAGGAAATCAGTATATAGAAGAGATATCTGCACTCCCATGTTGATAGCAATCCTGTTTACCATACTGAGGATTTGGAAGCAACCTAAGGGTTCATTAACAGAAGAAATGATGAAGAAAGTATGGTACATATAACAGTAAGTACTATTTAGCCATAAAATATATGATATCTTGTCATTTAACACAACATGGATAAAATTGTAGGTCATTTTTTTAAATGAAATAAGCCAGGCACAGAAAGACAATGTTATATGTTCTCACTAATTTGTGGGAGCTGAAATGAAAATAATTGAACTTATGAAGTTAGAAAGTAGAATGATAGTTGTTAGAGGCTGGGAAGGGTAGTAGGGGTGTGGGAGAAGTGGGGATGGTTAATGGGTACAAAAATATAATTACATAGAATCAGCAAGATCTAATATTTGATAGCATAGCACGGTGATTACAGTCAATGATAATTTATTGTACACTTAAAAATAAAAAGTATAATTGGAATGTTTGTAAATGATAAATGCTTGAGGTGATGGTTACCCAATGCCCCATTTACTCTGATGTGATTTTTACACATTGCATTCTTGTGTCAAAACACCTCATGTACCCTTTGAATGTATACACCCTTTACATATCCATAAACATTAAAAATAAAGAAAAAATGCTATCCAGTGAAGAGTAAGGTCAGGTGAGAATAAAAACACTGAAGAATATGTATGACTATTATATTAAAAAAATTAATAGAGAGGAAAGAACTTCAAAAAGGGGACTGCTCTCCAGTGCGAAGACTGGGGCTGTCAAGCTGTGTGTTAATTTCTTATTTCTGCTGTAATAAATTATTACATACCAGCCGGGCACAGTGGCTCACGCCCGTAACCCTTTGGGAAGCCAAGGTGGGTGGATCATCTGAGGTCAGGAGTTCAAGACCAGCCTGGCCATCATGGTGAAACCCCATCTTTATTAAAAAAATAAAATAAAATAAATTATTACATACCTAGTGACTTAACAAAAAATTTATTATTTATTTATACTTAAATTTACTTGTTTATAATAAAAGATACCAATGAAGAGGTAGATCAGACAAGGTCCAGAAGGGTTCTGAGTTCAGGAGTTTCTCCCATGGAATTAGGGTGTGCCACCCTCTCAGCACATGGATGCATTCACCAACCTGAAGGCTCTAAAACAATGAAAATTTATCTTTGACTTCTGAAATCTGAAACAAATCTTCAGGGCAGTGTTCTTTGTGGTGGCTTTAGGGGAGAACCTTTTCCCTGCCTTTGCTGTATTCTAGATATTGTTTATATTCCTTGGCTCATGGCTCTTTTCCAGAAATGGTTTTACTCCACTTTCTGCTTTCATCCCCACATCTTCTCCTCTGAGTCTCTGATTTCCTCTTTTCCTTATAAGGATTCTTAGACTACATTGGACCCAAGTGGATATTTCAGGATAGTCTCTTCATCTCAAGATCTTTAATTTAATAACATCTGTCAAATATTTTTTGCCATGTAAAGTAACACATTCCCATGCTTCAGGGATTAGGATATTAATATCTTTAGGAGGTCACTATTCTGCTTATCACAAGCAGGCTGATTTGGATCATACGAAGAATGCCAAATGTAGATCAATGGAGCTTCTCATAAAGTAATTGAAAGAAAAAAAGCTGCCACTTTTCAATCTACACAATAATGTACCTTACATTTTTCAATAGTGAGTTCATGAGGGTTATTTGAGGAATTGGTATGAGACCTTGTTCTCTATAAATGAGTCTATCAAGAGGAGATGTTAAGGTATTTGAGTGGATGCAGTTCATTTCTCTGGAGAAAGAATTTGGGGATGCTGAAATGGCATATACCACTAGAATATAGATTATTTGCCTCTCTTTGACATCAGAATAGATAATAGTTTAATTACCATCAGTGCTCATTATATTTTAAAAATAGGCTTTCTTCTCACCCATACTGTAATTTGTGTCCAACATCAAGGAATTAAAATGTTGTAACTTATTTGCTATTTAAAATTTTGCAGGTGGATAGTGAATATGATGAAATAGTTCAGATTAAGATTGTGGCATTTGGGCCAAGGCTTTGGGCATCATTTGAAAGTTAGTGAAGCCCATGTTACACTTTTCTTCTTTTTATTAAAATTAATTGCTCTTCAAATATGCAGCCTCCTTAACACAAGATCTTATAAATGGAAGACTTATTTGCAATGAGTGCATAGCAGGCACTCTAAACGACTGCTGAAAAATTAAATAGGCTTGTTTGTCTATTCAAATAAATCCACTTTTTCTTCCATTTTTTATAATGAATTTGATGATACATGTTTTCTAATACATTGCAAGTACATATTAATATACTTTCAGTCCTAATGTAGTCCAACCCCCTTATTTTTTTTTTTGTAGGAAGATGGAGGCTGAAGATTAGGTCAACTGAGGCACCCAAGTTCAAACAGAGGCAAAAGTTGGGCAGAGTCAGAATTTCAGCCTTCCTAGTTAATTGTTAGTTTTTATAAACCTTTCATCCCCATCATTCTTTCTTTTTTGACCAAGTGTCACAGTGCAACAGCTGAAACATAGATGGCAAATGTATTAGCCAAAACCATGCATTTTAGTGGGTGATGTTTTTCTTAGATTTTCTCTTTCTGTCCAATGCACTTTCAACTCTACCTGACCACATGTGTGTGTGTATGTGTGTGGGTGTGATTGCATGGTGTGTGTGTATTTTATATTAAGCATTTTCCAATGAAATTTTATATCAATGGGAACGCTTTGCTCTTCTCTGTGAGCCGGCTGCCCTACCATCAGGTAGCAGTTATAGATCTATAGAATTATTTTAGTTTCATCATGGTTCTTAGGTATAAAGAAAGGCTTTAATTAGCACAACAGTCTGCTATCACCGCAGCTTGCATAATTTTGGAGTTAGCAACTAACACATTACGTTTTTAAGTTATTTGCTGAGATTTTTTTTTACATTGCCTTCCCAATGATTAGCATTAAAATTACAAGTATTAAGCTTCATTTAGCACTTGAAAGACTCTTTGTAGTTCTCTATTCAGCAATGACTACATGCTAGATTATAGAGTTGTGTGCCTCATTTATTTATTAGGAAAAATAACAAATAAAGGGTGTGGCAGACAGATCCACTGTGAAAAATCAGAGATCTTGGACAAGAGTCTTTCCTCCCACAAGCCCATGGCTCTTTCCCCTTCCCTTTCCATTCTTGGCTACTGTCTCAACTGTCAGGGACTCATGTAGGGTCTTTCAGGTTTGTATGAGCTATTTTAAGATCAAGTGCCTTAAGACCATGCTTTTACACACATCTATTTAACGGGCCATTCTTTAACCACAGATTCAGTCTTGGGTATGCACTCATCAGCATTGCATTCTACTTTTGGGGAAAGAGATCATCCCCGGCCCTACCCAACCACCACGAACACACATCTTAACAGTATTAAACATTAAATCCTTGTGTGAAATAACAATTCTTTTATTCACAGCATTGAGGAATGTTCAATAAGTGAGGAATGCTGCAACTGGAAGGCTCCAAAAGGAAGTCCAGTTCCAAATCAACACAGAAGATGAGACCCTGCTATAGAGAGCTAGTCAATTTTCTTCTCCTGCCAATGAGATTTCCTGAATTGTATCCAACTTCAACAACAGATTTTTTTTCTCATTGATTCTATTGTGTGGATTTAATAAAGTAAGAGTTGAGTTACGATAGCAGAAAACCCTCAGATTTCTGGATCTGTTCTCTGATTGTTACTAGATAGAGAAGAAAACTAACACAAAAAGAACCCCCTGCCCAGTAAGACAAGAGAGATTGTGAGTAGCCATAATTCTATGATGGAGTTAACAACAACTGAGATGAAAGAAGGTTGTAAGAGTAAAGGTTTTCCTACAAAAATATAAACATGCCGTTGTCAGGCATTAAAAAATATCAAGGTTGCTGTATAGGTCACAAAAACATATGACTAAGTAATGGTTCTTATCTCACTAGGTCAAAAGCTTTCTCTTAATGAATCTTTTAAGACTTGTATGAGTTAATATTACCTTATGCTGAGAATTTCCTCTTGGGATGAGGAAGAACATAAATATTACATATAAAAAGACATTCCATTTTCATGTTCCATAAATTATTATTTCTTTAGGAAAATAGATTTTTAAATGAATGCGAGGGAAACCTTAAATATATTTAAATGATAAACTATTAAAATAAAAACTTACATCCTTTTTGTCTGTGTTCACTCAACTTTTCTTATAATAAAATAGAAATTTCTGGTGGCTGTGTCTCACTTTCCTTCCCATAAAATGGGAAACAGACTGGCAACCTGCCCTTTTCCCCTCAGTCAATTTTTGTTGGAAATTAAATGAGCAGAATGAGCTCTATTTTCTCGTCTTGTATAAGTGCATTTCAGACAAAGATGGCAGTAATTTTGGAGATGTTGCCATAATAATGTTTGAGTTATTGGATTCAGCTCAATCAATAACTTCTTGAGTTAGCTTGTTGGATAGTTCTTAATAATCAAATATAAAAAACAGGGCTTCTTATCAAGCAGAAGGTGGGTGCTACTCTAAAATTCTTCTCATTTACCTTTAGGAGTTTTATAAAATTGTCAAAGAAAAATAGATTTTAAAATACTCTAATTATAAAGGCTCTTAAGGAGGGGTAGGGAGGCTGGGCACAGTGGCTGATGCCTGTAATCCCAGAGTTTTAAAGGCTGAGGGAGGAGGATCATTTGAGACCAGGGGTTCAAGACCAGCCTGGGCAACATAGCGAGACCCCATTTCTAAAAATAAAATTGAAAAAATTAGCCAGGTGCTATGACATTCACCTGTATTCTCAGCTACTCAGGAAGCTGAGGTGGTGGGGGGCATAGCTTGAGCCCAGGAGTTCGAGATTGCAGCAAGCTATGATTGTGTCACTGCACTCCAGCCTGAGTGACAGAGCAAGACCATGTTTCTAAAAAAAAAAAAAAAAAAAAAAAATTAAAATTAATTTACAAATGAGGTATAGGGGATGAAAGTGTCACAAAACCAAATGACAAAAAGTTTGAGTAAGGTCATTGATGTAAGGCGTAGAGTATTGGTTCAAGAACTGATTTTATCCAAACACTTTGGCAACTGAGCTCTGTCAGGATAGCCTCTTTTTACCTCGTCTACCAGCTATCTATTTTCAACCAGCAGGGTGCAACCTTGAGTCAGGCTGGATATGCTCTATCCATGTGGAGAAGCAATGACCAAATTTAACATAAAGATACCTAGAGGTGAGGGAACTTAAGAAACTCAATGTAACCATTCACACTGCAGGGAAGACATTTCGGGCTACTCTGGTAGAAACCCAAACTAGATAATGCAGACCCCCAAAAACAAGCAGAGTCCTTCCAGGAACACAAAAAACAAGTTATTTTTCAGAGAGAATTTAAGGTAGGGAACTGGTTGAACAGGCATTGGAGGACTAAAAAGCTGCCCTGAAACACCAAGTTAACACAGAGAGAATAACTCTAGGAAACAGCTACCACCATTATGACCAGGAGCCAACATAAAGATATTAGGATGATAAGAACCTAGAAGCCTAGAGGAGGGGTCCCTGATAATCTAGGAACTATACCTTGCAAGACAGAGTGCATCCATTGGACTGGCACCTGAGAGCTCAGAGGAGGAGCTGTAACTCAGACCTCTGAGTAAAGCCTCCCTTTCAGCTGACACTGAAACCTAGTGGGGGCTGGTTCTGAGACTGCTGAAAGAAACTGGAATGTGGAAGCAACTGCTGCTTGCTGAAGTGAAGAGCTGTTGCTGGGAAGACAATTGCAAACCAGCATGCGAAACGGAATGGATCAAGTCATTTCTTTGCACCTCTTGTTTTCTAGGCTCCCTTTAACACTCCCTGTTGGCAAAAAAAAAAAAAAAAAAACCAAACAAAAAAAACCGAACTAATAGCAAGTTGACCAAAGAGAAATGTGCTTGATGGAGACCCAGTGATAGCATCACAGAGTGTGGAGGGATTGGGAATTAAAAGATTATAGGTTAGGCTAGGCACGGCGGCTCACGCCTGTAATCCCAGCACTTTGGCACGCCAAGCTGGGTGGATCACCTGAGGTCAGGAATTTGAAATCAACCTGGCCAACATGGTGAAACTCCGTCTCTACTAAAAATACAACAACAAAAAAAAAAAATAGCCGAGTGTGATGGCAGGTGCCTGTAATCTCAGCTACTTGGATGGCTGAGGCAGGGGAATCGCTTGAACCTGGGAGACAGAAGCTGCAGTGAGCTGAGACCGCACCACTGTACTCCAGCCTGGGCAAACGGAACAAAACTGTCTCAAAAAAAAATTGTAGATTAATAACCCTTACACCCATTAATTCCAACAATGATAGGACTTGTGTGAAAGAAAGATTAGCCTCTAATGTTGTAGAGCTGCACTGGCTATTAAAGTGCAGGGCTTTGAGGATGAAGTGCTGCTCCTCAGAAGCTTTTCACAGTGCTTGATATTGAACCAGTGCACTTCTCTCTCATTCGACAGCAGTTCTGACATCTAACCCACAATTTCATATATATTTGGCTTTCCAAAAATCTGCTATTGAGCTAAGCTTTTGCTACCCTATGAAATTAAGCAGCCTACCTCACAGTCTCTTTTCTACCTTGAATTTGTCATCCCACAGCTCTGGCTTGCTGTTAGCACAGTCAGTGTCTAAGCCCTTCTTACAATCACAGTGGGGACTAGCCCCCAAATAGCTGATCACACCAAGGACGTTGCCTCACTTTCATGTCCCTAGAACCTACCAGAAAACAATGTTAATGATAAAATAAAAAAAGATGTTTTCCGTTCCAGAAACTTGACCCTGAAGTCATCTGAGTAAGAGAAACAATGCTGCTGACCTACAGTTTCAGAAACCATTGTAGGAACTCAGAAGAGGAATGCCCATATCAACCATGTATTTGGGCAAATTTCAATGAAAGAAGTGAGTTGCCTTGAACTTAAAGATGTGCTAAGCCACGCGCCTGTAATCCCAGCTACTCAGGAGGCTGAGGCAGGAGAATTGCTTGAAGCCAGGAGGCGGAGGTTGCGGTGAGCTGAGATCACGCTGTTGCACTCCAGCCTGGGTAACAAGAGCGAAACTCGGTCTCAAAAAAAAAAAAAAAAAAAAAAAAAAAAGATGTGCCAACCTCAGGCACTGTGGAGAAAACAGTGGGTAAGGAAGCACTGCACCGTGAATCAGAAGGCTGACATATGAATCTGAAGTCTGCCATTCTCCAGCTATGGGATTTTAAAAGACAGTCAAGTTCTTGAGCCACAGTTTCTTTTGCAAAAGCAGAATAAAAACATATTTTATATAGACTGAGACAATGAAATGGAATAGTATAAATAAAAAGCATTTAACACATCATATATAATTATTAATTTGTTTAATTCTATGTAGAATTGTCATTGAACAATGTAATATGTGGTTTATGAAACATGCCAACCAAAAATTTTAGAAGACATTATACCAGACGTTTAATGTATACCAAGTTATGGTTCTCATACATCCTATTCTATATCCCTTCCCCCTCACCAATATGGCACCGTGATCTTTGATTATCTGGATGGGAATAAGGGTTAGGGAAGGTAAAGTAAAGTGCAATAGATTATTATTCAATTAGACGTTTCTGTGTTAAGCAAATATTTATTTGCTTAACAAGTCTTTTTTCTTGTTCTTATCAGAGAGTAAAAACACCAGGAAGATGAGTTTCTAAGAACTGTAAAAGGAATCAGAAGACATGAGTTGATGTCACTGCTCTGCAATTCAGAAATTATCTGGGAAAGTTACTTTTTTTTTAATGATATAATTGCAGAGATATTTCCAGCCTGTCTTTGTTGTTGTTTTTGTTTTTTGACTTTGTAATAGGTGAATTAGTATCTAACCCATGGCTGTTTAGGGGAATGAATAAGATATTATATGTAAACTGCCTAGTATAGAGTAAACCCTAAAAGCCATAATGAGGGTCATTATTGTCAGCTCCTGAGCATTTAGTGTTATGTGGACTTTGGAATCAGTGAGATGAGGACTTGAGTCTTGGCTCTGCCACTTACTGGCTGTGTGATATCGGGTAAGTCACTTAAAATTTCCAGGTCTTAGTTTCTTCATCTTTGGAACAAAAAGAATAATACTGAGTCTCCCTGCCTTATGGAGTTACTCAGTGGTTGATCTGATGAAAAAAAAAATCAGTGCCAAACACTTTATATGTGTGTGCCTATGTGTATTTGAGTGTATATGTGTATGTTTTTATGCATATGTGTGACTTTGTATTAATATGTATATATATATGTTCATATGCATATCTATACACACACACACACATATATATATATATATGAAGGCCTATTTCAGATAGCATCTTAATATTAGATAATCTAGCTATTATGATCCTAGGACTGGAATTTACTGATTAAGACAAGGAAAGGGCATCAAAATCCAGGGTCTGCTGTGACAACTGAGGGAAGCAAATATAGCCTCTCATTTGTTACAAATAAACATTAATATCTTTATTCCATTCATTAATAATTAATTGCTCCAGGCTCTGATTCTTGTATAATTGTACCTTATGAAAGTCCACAGCAGAGAAATATTGTGCAAATGCAAAATACCAATTTTATCATGAGTAATGAAAATTCAATTAAGTTTAGAATAAATGTGTGAGTTAGTAACCCAAGCTTAACATAAAGACATGGAATATAAATAGATTTTGGAAAACAAAATAACAAGGGTGTGACACTTTATAAAGTGTATTGAAAATCCATCATTGCTTTCTGCACACTGGCAAGAAAAGGCCTACATTACAGGAGAGAATAATTTTTGACATTTTTATTGTGCTTTATAGCCAGAACACTCCAATGAGGAGGTTGAATAGAAAACTTCCTATACAGCACAGTTTGAGAAAAAAATAAAAAGTAGAGACCTTCCAGAATTATTTTTTCCATGTTTCTTTGGTGGGGCCTGGAATTTTGCAGCATTGGTTAAGGTCTTCATTCTAGACCAAAGTGATCAGGGTGAGGTGAATAATATGACCATGAACCTAGAATCAAGGTTTGAGATCTGGTCTGCACTTGATTAACTCTGGACCAAGTAACTTAATATGTCTTATCTTCAATTAAACATCAGAAAAAGAGAGAAACTAATGATGTTTATTGTTATGAAGCATTAAAATAAGATATTTGGTTTAATCACGTTGCATATATTAGGAAAGTTATGAATGTTATGCAAGAGATGAGATTGTAATTTAATTTGATGATTTCAGTATGTTTCTTTTTTAATCATGCAAATTAAAATTTGCAAGTTGAAATAATTTTGTTCTTCAAAGGAGGAACGTCAGAAAAGAATTTTTCTAATTTTATCATTTGTCAAAATAATATGGAAATTCCTATTTAAAAATAGATTTGAAAAGTCATGACAAAATGAAGTAGTCATGTAACAGTCACAGTGATTTTTTGAAGTACAAAAAAACTATTAATAACAAGCCTTATCACTCACTTTCTTCAGCAAACTTGAATTTGTCAGTAATACATATATTCTAAAGAATGAGCCATAGACTTGGAAGCAGTTTCTAAGAAAGTATTTCTTAAATGCCCTGCATAATGGTAACATGAGTAAAATCTCTGTATCAGAGCACCTTGGGACTGGAACTGACCAATCAGACCACTTCCTGCAGCTATCTATTTTTGTGCTAAACTACTTTCTACAGCTGTGCTCATCAATGCTTGTCCAGGCTATACTTGGACCTCTTGAATGATGGCAGACCCATGATTTCACATGGAAGTCCATTCTATTTTTGCTTATTTATGGCTATTAAATCCCTTTCTTAAAATGAACTTATAATCTATTTTTCTGTAACTTTTATTCCTAAATGTCCATCTATTTAGGCTCTACCCGTGCTCTCTTTACTCCTTTTTTAGGTGGTGATTTTTTTAGGTTTTCAAACAATTTTATTCATTTTTTAAAAGATAAAGAGCCTTGTTAATCCAACCGAGTAAAGAGGATGTAGAATTAAATGCACTATTTTTAGTGTGGTCTAACCATAACAGATTGGGGGTGTGTGTGTATGGGTGTATGAGTGAGTGTGTATATATATGCTTTTGCTTTTCCTAGACAGTGACGTTTACTTATTTATTCAATAAATACTAATTAACGTCTTAGTACTTGATAGACACTGCTACAGATAGTTAAACATTGGAGATGAACACATAGACGCTTTTCTTGTTCTCATAAAGCTTACATTGGCTGGGTACAGTGGCTCACACCTGTAATCCCAGCAATTTGGGAGGCTGAGGCAGGTAGATCAGGAGGTCAGGAGTTTAAGACCAGCCTGACCAACATGGTGAAACCCCGTCTCTACTGAAAATACAAAAATTAGCTGGGTGTGGTAGTGTGTGTCTGTAATCTCAGCTACTCAGGAGGCTGAGGTAGGAGAATCATTTGAACCCAGTAGGTGGAGGTTGCAATGAGCTGAGATCATGCCACTGAAATCCAGCCTGGGTGACAGAGCGAGACTTCATCTCAAAAAACAAAAAATAAAACAAACCAAAAAAACTTACATTGTAGTTGGGGAATAGTAAGTATATCATTATATAATTATATATCAGATAGATAAATGAGAAGATTAAAGTAGAATAAGGTAACAGAGCATGAAGAGCAGCTAGCTCTTTGAGATCAAAAGATAAGAATAGGTTTTGCTAAGGAGATAACACTCAAATTGGGACCTGATCAAAGTAAGGGATGAAGTCACAGAGTCCAAAGAGCATTTTTGGCAGAGCTAATGGTAAGTACAAAGACCTAGAAGATCATGAACTTGGTATGAAAAACCACAAGAGATTTGTGTAGCTCTCTCAGAATGAGCAAGAGGAAAGGT